ACTTTTTATTCGAGAGCTCAGCATGAGTTGTCCTTAAGTTAGAAAAATTGATCGGCACTGCGATAAAGCCGGCGATAAAATTTAATCATTGAAATTGCGAATAAAGCTATTTATTTTATCGTTCGAAACATAATAATAATAATAATAGTCGTAGTTAAGGAAAACAAAATATAAAACGTTAAACTCGAAAACATTTTAAATAAGTAGTTACTTCGAGTAATTTTATTCGAAATATCTTCAATTGGTTACTGGTGGAAAGAAGTCTCGTAGGACGGCGCAGAGGGGCAAAAGAATATCCCCACTTTGGACGTTTCATTGACAATCTTGACACCGTAAGTGATAGCAGAGAAGTTATAATTCGAATATTAAAAATCGTAAAAATTATTTTCATTTATCAAGTACTTTTTAGTGTAATTATTATCTTAACTGCTAGAATAAAATTACATTTAAAAAGTAAACTATCTTTAATAAAAGAATTATTATATTATTATATTATTAGATATGTGAAGAATTAGAATTCTATGCCTATTCTGATGCATTCAAGGTTATAATTAAAACTCAAATTTCAATAGAAATTTCTACGTATATATTTCTATATAAATTCAATTATATCATTATAGTATACATAATAATAGTTAGTCTTTTTTTAGTTTCTACTTTTAAATCATTTGGATCTAATCAAATCGATTAGAAGCTACTTATTTTATATTTATTTTAAATACACATCGTTGCGAAGAAAGAAAATAGGCGTTTCTTTTTGCGAAATTTCTTTCCACCACAGTTTAACTCAACGAGTTAATGCTCAACTCTGACAGTCGTAACAAGATGATAATCAGGGATTATGTGTATCAAAAATATACGATTTAAGCAAGTGTCTTTGTTTAGGCTTGATGAAGGTTAAGACAATAATAATGAAAAAGGTTTGGGAAGGTTAGCACGATTTAACGCATGAATAATCTCTCGGCCAGTGCTCGACGTCTTCTTTCTTCCAACGAGATTTCCTTTAGAGAACTGGTGGCTTTCGTGAAAAAGTTACAATGAAAGGGAACCAACACGGACGAATCGCAATAATAATCCAGAGATCGTTTTCTACTATTCGTCCATATATTTTCTTACGATTGCGGTATAATTATTTTTCCATTCTATTCGATTCTATTCGATATTGAAACGAAGAAGAATAAGAATTGTCGTTGAATTTTTTTATCATTCATTCAAAAAATATTTATTATTACCAATTTATTATTACCAATATAAAAATATTTTCGTTTTCATTGCTCGTCCAATCAGAAAATATATAATATATATAATATATAAATAGTTAAAATAGTTTTTCACAGAGTTCTTCTATTTTTCTTAATATAGAATGTAATTCAATATCTTTGAAAATAATATTAATTTGATTTCATCTTGGTATCGAAAGATTCACTTCGAAGCAATTCGTTAGAAAAAAAAAATTTGTCAATCCACAAATCGATCAATGTTAAATCTAATCGCAAATAACGAAATCTAATAATCCTCTTCCGCGAGCACAAATTCTCGCCTCGATCGTTTCATCGTGCAGCGAAACAATTTTATAAATTAATGTATATCAGGACAGAACAGATCGATGACAGAAAACGGAGAGAATGGAAAAAAAAATCGGTTCTTTATTCAAAGTACAACAACGTGTTTCAGATTAGGTCTCGTTGACCGCGAGGAACATTCTCGAAACATTCTCGAAACATCGTTCTCGCGTAAACGGTTTACCTACGTCCCTCCCCGTTTTCCGCCGCTCCGTAGAACTGAAACGTCACAGACACGGTTGCCTTCCCTGCACCCGAATCTATCGAATCTGCTGCCCTCTTTTGTTTTCTTGGTTAAAGCGATTTCTCGATCTTTGCTCCTCGTTAATTGAAATTCCCGGGTTTAATCGTGAATTTTAATCTGTCGAAAAATTTCGAGAGTTAATAAATTATTGTAAATAGTTTAATAATTTTTTTTTTCGTAGAGAATAATATTCTAAATTAAAAAATATATAATTCTATTTATAGTTCTATTTATAATTCTATCTATAATAGTTTTTCATAGAGTTAATTCTATTTATAGTTTAGTATCTATAATTTAGCAGTTTTTTATAGAGAATGATATATTGTTCTTTATGCATAATTCTATTTCTATAAAGTATCTATTATATTTATGAATAGTTTAGCAGTTTTTTTATAAAGAATATGTTGCAAAAATATATCATTCTATTTAAATACAACAAGTTAAGTAAATATAGATTTTGCCTTTGTTTAAAATTTTCGGAAAAGGAAAATATTGATTGATGAAAGAATTAGCGCGAATTATAAAATTTTTAAGCAGCAATTTTTTTCATTTACACTTTTTTCAACATTTTTTTTACTTATTTTATTATTATTTTTTTAAGTTTTTTCCGTTATATCTTCATGTGCAGGTTTGTCTCAAATGGAAAATTGATCTTGCTTGGTTTTCTTTTCTTCTCCTCTTCCTCGTCGTCTTGGGATCAAGCATCTTTGATTTCGATTCTGATCTGAGGTGAAACGAACAACGAAATCGAATCGATTGGTGGAAAATGGAGAGAGAAATGGAGAGATTTCGTTCTTTCTCGAATTATTTTATGTTTCTTTATAATTAAGAATTTTTATCTATGCCAACGATTAACGATATCACAAAGGCAAATTTTCTCACATTCAACCAACTGGAAACTCGTTTACGACTGTGAACTTAACGATCATTGACGATTAACTTAATGTAGATTCGTCTATACCTATCTGTTCCAATGCTCTATCAATCTTCATTATTCTACATCGATCTGTTTCACATCGAATGAAACAGATACAGTGATAGTTCGATCATGGTTCTTAGATTACTTTATCACCACATATTTTCTCATCCAAAAAAGGATATTTTACTTCGATTTTTTAAAGGGGTTCCAAATAAAATTACATTTCAATATACACATAGAAAAAAAGTTGAATCGTTTCAATTGTCTCGAAAACACAGATAGAATTAAAAGGATAAATGAAACTCAAATATCTCATCACGAGATGTTATAACAGTTCCAACAATTACTTATATATTTACAATTACTTTCAATTTTTTCCAAGGATCAATCGAAAAAATATCCTGTCAGGATATTGGAAAAGCGAAATACTTTTTTTTTTTAAGCCATTATCCTAAAGGATTACATCGTCGCATATTTCAAACTCTTTTAGAATTCCAGAGGGGAGGGGAACCTCCCTCCCCTTCGTTGTATCGAATCATCGTTAATTCGGATCTTATCGCGACTTTTATCTTACGAAAAATTCACAATCGCAACACACACACACACACACACACACACACACACACACACACACACACACACACACACACACA